CTGCAGTACAGGCCAGGGGACGCGCCAGCCCTCAAGGGGCTGACCTTTGACATTCCAACGGGCTGCAAGATCGGCATCTGCGGCAGGACGGGTGCGGGGGAAGTCGACGGGGCGGCGGCGGAGCGTGGGCACGGGCAAGCGGGGGAGTGGCCCTGCAGGGGTACGGCGAGGGCGAGTGCGTGCGTGCGGAGGTGGTGCTAGCCAAAGACAGCTTGAGGTGCTGGCAGCTTGAAGAGGCGAGGTTGCTGCTTCCTGGAGCGGCTGCGACGCTTGACAGCAGGGCTCACTTGCCCGATAAATGCCCTGTCTTCGTTCATACACACACGTACACACTTGCAAAGACACAATCATACACAAACTGACATACCCACCCTTCCACACACACACACACACACACCCACACACTCACAATACATTTACACGCTCACACTGCACCTTCTCTCTCTCATTCTCACACCACGCAGGCGCCGGCAAGTCCTCGATCCTCGCCGCCCTTCTGCGCCTCACCCCCGTCTCCTCCGGCCGCATCCTCGTCAGCGGCGTCGACGCGGCGGCCCTGCCGCTGCCGGAGCTGCGGCGCCAGTTCGCGGTCGTGCCGCAGGCTCCGCTGCTGTTTGGGGGCAGCCTGCGGTTCAACCTGGACCCCCTGGGCCAATACAGGGGCCAGGACGAGGACCTGGCCGTGGCCCTGGAGGTGCGAAACGGGGCAGCCCGCGCTTTTTTGCCCCGCTGCGTGCTGCGCCGCAGGGGCCGCACGTCTCCGCTCTAGACAATGGGCCGGGGCGCTGCGCATTCGAGAGTTTGATCTGCCTGCCGCACGCTTGGGTGCACGCGCGCCTCCCGACCAGGCCTGGCCCAGCCTCTGCGCTGATGCCCCCGTTGGGCCCGCTCGCGCCCGCTCGCTCCCGCTCGCCTGCGCGCCGCAGGCGGTGCAGCTGTGGGAGCCGCTGTGCCGCCTGGCCCTCCACCAAGGGAAGCTGGGCGGCGCCACCTACCTCGCCTCCCGCCGCGCGGCGGGCCTGATGGACCGCATGCTGACGCGCCGCGCGGAGCGCATCGCGTCGGGGGCCGCCGGCGGCCGCGCGGCGCGCCGTGGGGCTGGCGCGGCGGAGGGGGACCCGGAGCAGCACCAGCAGCAGGAGCAGGAGCACGAGCAGCGGCGGGAGCGCGACTTCGATGTCGAACAGGGCTCAAGAGCGGCGTCGACGCCGGCAGATGGGGGTCCTCCCTACTTGAAGCGGCGCAGCCTCAGCATGCCGTTTTACCAGCAGCCCGCCACGCCGGACGCGGCCCGCATCCCAGGACGGCCGCTGGCGCTCGTGCTGGGAATGAAGGTGGGGCCCGGGGCGCAGCTTCCTTGTGGCTGCCGGGGCGCTGGGCGTGGAACTGCCTGGGCTGCCGGGAAAGGGCCCACTTTGGCTTGGTTAGTGGCGCAGCATGCGTCACTCCCGCGGAGCCCCAAATGCTTGGATTGATGGTCCACACAGAATGTGCATGCGCAGCGATCGCCCTCAGGAAAGGCTCACACGCCCACACACACACACACACACACACACACACACACACGCACGCACGCACGCACGCGCGCTTGCACGAACAGCGCACACACACGCATGCGCGCGCACACACACACACACACACACACACACACACACACACACACACACACACACACACACACGTATGCATGCACATACACACACAAACACGCACACTCACGCACAGGTCGGCGGCGAGGGCGGCCTGCAGCTGTCGGCCGGCCAGCAGCAGCTGCTGTGCCTCGCGCGCGCGCTGCTGCGCCGCTCGCGCCTCGTGCTGCTCGACGAGTGCACCTCCTCCGTCGACCCCCCCACCGCGGCGCTCATGCGCGCGGTGCTGGCGCAGCACCTGGGGGACCGCCGCACGACGGTCCTCCAGATCGCCCATGACCTGAGGGCGATCATGGGCTATGACAGGGTCCTGCTCATGGACCGGGGCAGGGTGGTGGAGGACGGCGCGCCGCGTGCGCTGGCGGCGGCGGGGGAGACGCGCTTTGCGCAGCTGCTCGCGCGCGCGGGGCGGGCGGCGGGGGCCGGG